CTAACCTAACCTAACCTAACTTTTTCGGCTACCTAACCTAATCTAACCTATAAATATAGGTTAGGTTAGGTTAGGTAGGGTTGGTTAGGTTCGGTCATATATCTACGTTAATTTTAACTCCAATAAAAAAAATTGACCACATACATAGAGAAAAGGGTAGCTTTATCATTTCATAAGAAAAAAATTATAGTAAATATATTAATTCAGGAAAACTTGGCTTATTAGGCAAATCGGGCCTTGAATAGTAGGCTGAGAAGTGAGTTCTGGCTACTAGGTACGACATATATATATATATATATATATATATATATATATATATATATATATATATATATATATATATATATATATATATATATATTATATATATATATATATATATATATATATATATATATATATATATATATATATATATATATATATATATATAAATATATATATATATATATATATATATATATATATATATATATATATATATATATATATATATATATATATAAATATATATATATATATATATATATATATATATATATATATATATATATATAAATATATATATATTGTGACAATAATCTATATCAATATATTATAGCCTATCTATATATAAATACGTCGTTGAAATATATATATATACTATGGAAGACATGTAACATAACAACAACACCAGCAAGGCTAGGGTGAGCAAAACGGATATATACTATACCACCAAACTATATATTGATCGCTATCCGCTGATATATCTATGCACTATATATATATGTCTGGGGTCGCCCCAACCTCCTACCTCATAATAGTGCTCTCGTTGTCACCACTCCTCCCGGCTAGACGCTAGCGTGTATAGAGAAGTATATTAATAATATATATATTTTGTATTGCACTTCTTGTTATTTTGCCTTAATATATATATAATTATATATATTGATATATAAGAATTTGTTTGTGCATATTCATATATTTAATTAACGTATATTTATTGTTAAAGTTTATTGTGTTTTGTATGTCTTCTCCTTACCTTACCATAGACGAAGTTCCAGTTTTTATATATTTTTTTTTATATAACTATATGATAGGCCATACCCCTAGCCTTAAACATAACACCAACGCGTATACAATATATATATATATATATATATATATATATATATATATATATATATTATTATTATTAAATATGACCGAAAAAGTAAGATTAATAATTCTAACACGAATTTTCTTGATTTTTCTTACGTTTCTTTTCACTGTTGATGGTAATTCAAAAATCAATTCTCCAAAATTAATTTTTATTTCTAGTCTGACGCGACACTTGAGCGCGTTTCGTAAAACTTATTACATTTTCAAAGACTTTAGTTTACACACACACAACTTTAACTGAATAGAGCTTAAACATCTTCGAGTTTTTTATACTTACATTTGGGTGAGGTGACATGTTACAATAGTTTTGGATGAGGTGAAAATAAACTTTTTACACAAGACAGAACATGAAACAATGGGTATTAAAGGTAGGTAACTGCAGAAGGCCTATTTTTATTGGCCCATATTTCTTGATGCTTCTATATTGTAGCGGAGCCTTGAAGTGGGTAGAATATAATTGTGCATTAATTGGCTGTTGATTGCTGGTGTTGACTTCTTGATGTGTAGTGCCTCGCAGACGTCAAGCCGCCTGCTATCGCTGTATCTATCGATGATTTCTGTGTTGTTTGCTAAGATTTCTCTGGTGATGGTTTGATTGTGGGAAGAGACTATATGTTCCTTAATGGAGCCCTGTTGCTTATGCATCGTTAAACGCCTGGAAAGAGATGATGTTGTCTTGCCTATATACTGAATTCTTTGAGGCTTACAGTCCCCAAGTGGGCATTTGAAGGCATAGACGACATTGGTCTCTTTTAAAGCGTTCTGCTTTGTGTCTGGAGAGTTTCTCATGAGTAGGTTGGCCGTTTTCTTGGTTTTATAGTAGATCGTCAATTGCATCTTCTGATTTTTGTGTGTAGGGATAACGTTTCTATTAAGAATATCTTTCAGGACCCTTTCCTCTGCTTTATGAGCTGTGGAAAAGAAGTTCCTGTAAAATAGTCTAATAGGGGGTACAGGTGTTGTGTTAGTTGTAGAGCATCCTCTGAAGAAACAACTAACACAACACGAGGTGAAAACACCTCGTTCTTTGGGGCACACGTTAGGAACACAAATGCAAAGAACGAGGTGATTTGATAAAATACCATGCCCAAGATTACCATCAGAGTGCCAGCGGGATGATGGGAATTAGCCTCGGCTACCATCATCTTTTGTCTGGTCGTGATGGTCGAGTGGTTAAGGGGTCCTGTACACCAGATGCAGAGTGCTCCTGGCAGTATGGATTCGAGTCACTTCTGGGGTGTGAGTTTTCAGTTGTATATTATTTATATATATATATATATATATATATATCTTATATATATATATATATATATATATATATATATATATTTTATATATTTGTGAGGGTACCCCCTCTGGTGCCAATGTGGGGACCCATAGCCTCGGAGAAGAAAATAAAAAGTATTCAGAGGAGACCTTGTGGTCTCTCACTGAACACTAATATTATCTTCTCCTACCACCCCCATTCTTTTGTGTGTACACACACACATATATATATATATATATATATATATATATATATATATATATATATATATATATATATATATTTATATATATATATATATATTTATATTTATATTTATATATATATATATATATTTATATATATATAAATATATATATATATATATATATATATATATATATAGATATTTTATATATATATATATATATATATATATATATATATATATATTATATATATATATATATATAATATATATATATATATATATATATATATATTATTGATATTATACCCTTAGTTAACAATTGCTTACTTAGTTATCATTAATTTATCATACAAGTTTATCATATTGAATATAATCTCTTGTACTTAGTTACCAGTACTTGGACCACATACAAGGTTATTTAATTGCATATTTACATATATCATACCTCTATAATACAAATTGTTGTGTTAGTTGTATATGAATATTGGCTGTATAGTTATGGTGCTATGTTGGACTCTGTACATGTTTAGCTCCATGATTTAATCAGAACCAGTGTTCTGTTATAGAACTGAGTTATTAAATCTTATCCTCTTATTAACAATCCAATTTGATGTGTTGAATTGTCTGCAGGTGGATTGTGGATCTTCAATCAACTTCTCCATTCACTCTTAGGGACCCCACCAGCCCCTTACAACCAACAGTCTGTCATTAGGACATGAGGAGCTAGGATTTACGACCCTAGCTAGGGAATTTAGTTGAATTAATTTCGCATATAGTAATTTTTAATTTAGTACAGTACAAGTCCCTAGTAGTTCCCCTCATTAATCAATCCCGACAATTTTCCCACACTATCATTCCAGTACTGTGAGTAAGAGTACCTATCATTCCAGCACTGAAAGAGGACCAATCATTCCATCACTGATAAGAGGACCTATCATTCCATCACTGAGTAAGAGGACCTATCATTCCTGCACCTTTAGTGATAGAAGCAATCATTCCCAATAGTGTATGAGACAGAGTATCCTCTTACAGCACTGTAAGTGATGGATTCAACCTTTAATCGCGGTGGTGTGTGAAGAACTATGTCGAAGTAATATGTCTGACATAATGATTAAAAAAAAAACATTTAATCGAGATTATACGAAAACTTACACTTACAATTCCGAAATCATTCCCCCCTCTTCCCCCCGCACGCCCTCCAAAAAAAAAAATACAATAAAAAAGTATTAAATATAAAAAAAATACTGTGAATAACGCCGTCCTAATTGCAGCTACATTAATAAATCCTTAATTGCATTAATGCAGACAACGAAATATCATATATGCATACTTAGCTAAAAAAAACAAAAATCAAGTGCCATTGTAAAACACATCTACATTTTAGTTACGCAATTTAACAGATTGTCCTCCAACTCTGTCAGGATAATGCATAACCAAACCTGATTAATGTGAATTAGTTCACACAAACTGCCAGCAGAATTGCTTTGTGGTGAGGATTCCCACAGTCAGCCGGAACCCCAAGCAATATAATCTGTAGCCATCAACTACGAGCAATAAACATCACCAAACATTCACGGCAACGTTGTGTGGCAGGGATTGTGTCATCCATAATTTTATTATGTGGATGAATGTATGAATGAGGTCATTAGGTGGGTGTGTATTAAATCTGTCTGTGGCTCTTTACTGCTTCTGTGTGTTGGGTACTATACATCAGTCAATAGTCGCGTCCTTGCATGCATACGACACGCTAGTTGTGCGCTATGGTGAGGATTTTTCACACTCATCTAGAATAATTTAGAATATATTCTATAGTTCCTAGAGAATTCTGAAATATCCAATAGTATTATGGATTTTCTTGTTTAATTTTGGATTATCGAATAATATTCTGGATTATTCTGTAAAGCTCTGGATTATCCTATAGTATTCTGGGTTATCTATAGTATTCTGGATTATCCCATAGTATTCTGGATTATCCTACAGTATTCTGGGTTATCCTATAGTATTCTGGGTTATCCTATAGTATTCTGAGTTGTCCTATATATAGCTTATATAGTATTCTAGATTATTCAATAGTATTCTGGGTTATCAAATAATATTCTGGGTTATCCTATAGTATTCTGGCTGCCGTACCCCGATGTTCGTGAGCTGGTTCTGGTTCAGTGGGCTTTGATGGTAGAACAGAAACGGTGTTTTCCTTGTCTCTTAGACTGGTTTGAGTGATGTAAAGATGAGTGTAGAAGGTTATTTATTTCTATTGCGGAGCAGAAGTCGTCTGAACGGTTTGTTTTGTTCAATGTATTGCAGGCACTGTTGATACTTTTGTATGGGCTAGTGAATAAGGGGTTTGAGAGGTTTGTCGAGATTTTGTTGTGTAAAGAACACATTCGTGGTTTGTGGGAGGAGATGGCTGAAGGGTTTGGGGAATGGTTGTTTGGGGAATGTATATCCCAGTACTTGCTTCGGAAGGAGAAAGAGGATCGTGAGTCGGTGTTGTTGATTAGTCTCCATATGCCGGATGGTTCAGTTTTGTCGAATACATTTGGTGTGCTTTACTATGTTTGGAAAGAGCTTGAAGATCTTTATAGGAGGATGGAGGGGGATCAGGGATTGAAGGATTTTTTTATTGGGTTTTGTTCTCCTGGATTATCATCGTCGAACTGTACGGTTCTGGAAGGTGAGGTTGGTCGTTCCGAGGTCTGAGATGTGGTTCGGTCGTTGCGGAATGGTAAGTGTTAGGGTATGATGGGCTGCTGGGGAAATTTTATGAATCCTGTTGGGATATTAGAGGGTCTGATTTCTTGGAGGTAGTTCAGTATTGTTTTGCACACATGCAGTTGGTGGGGTCCCAGTCGCTTGACATAGTGAGGCTCTTTCCTAAGCCTGACGACTTGAGGTTCTTTGCCAATTGGAGACCTATTACTCTCCTCAACAAAATTATCTCGAAGTTGTTAGCAATTCGGCTCTAGTCGGTGATGGGCTTCCTTGTTTCTCGGGAACAGTTTTGTGAGGTGCCGGGTAGGTCCTTGGTCCATTGAAACAACCTCGTACATGATCTGATTCTTTATTTGTCAGAGTCTAGGTGCCAGGCGGCTTAGATCAATCTGGACTGGTCGAAGGCCTTACATCGTGTGTCCATTGACTTTGTTCTGCGGATTCTGGAGAGACTTGGAATTGCCACCCGTTTTGTAGGCTGGGTGCGAATGTTGTGTAAGGGTGTTGTAGTCGGGTGTTTGTGAATGGGTAGTTTAGTGTTACGTTTGACATTGGGAGCTTGAGTCAGCAAGGTTGCCCCCCCTGTCAATGCTTTTGTATGTTAATTTTCCGGAACCGTTGTTTCGGCCTTTGCAGGCTTGTGGTTTGATCACTTCCCTGTGGTTGCCCAACAGGTTTGACCAGAGTTTGTGGATATGGTGATGATACCACAGTTTTTGTAGTTACTGTGGATTCGGTGGTTGGTGTTCAGGACGTGGTGCACAGCTCCGAGTTGGCCACGGGGGCTGTCATCATTTGTAGGCAGTCGTGGATTATGGGGTTAGGGAATTTTGCTGCCCGGAAGTCTTGAGAAGGGTCTTGGTTGCCAGTGGCACGATCTGTTCATATACTGGGCATCACCTGGTTTAGTTTGTATAAGGAATCGTTGCAATATAATTGGGTTGTGGTTTCTCGCTCGGTGGCGGCTGTGGTGGGGATGCTGTCCAAGAGGGTCTTGATGATTTTTCAGCGGGCGTTGATCGTGAACTGAAAGGTTCTTTCCAAGGTCTGGTATTTAGCTCATTGTATCCCTTTTTTCTTGTGTATGACCCTCTGTCCTGTGAGACAGTGAATGCCAACATTATCCTCTTTAATAAGACTTAATTGAAATCCTCAGATTAGGCAAAATTATAATTAAATTTTGTCAATAAAGATGTTAAAAATAAATATTGTTTTCCTTTGAGCAGGGCACACGCGCTGGTTTTGGAGAAGGTTGTTTATCGTTATGTGTGGTGTGGCTGGTACCACCCGGTTCGTAGGTGGTACCAGCTCCAATAGGTGCTTCTTGACCTCATCTCTTGTAATTTCGAACCTTTCCAAGGTCACCTGGTTTGCTGCCACCTCTCCTAGCGCCGTGACTTCTCCCTGTTCTATTGTAAAGACCTCCTGGAACCTTTTGTTGAGTTCATCACACACTTTTTTGTCATTCTCTGTGTACCTGTCCTCACCCACCCTAAGTTTTATCACCTGTTCCTTCACTGTTGTCTTCCTCCTGATGTGACTGTGTAGTAGCTTTGGTTCGGTCTTGGCTTTATTAGCTATATCATTTTCATATCTTTTCTCAGCTGCTCTTCTCACACTAACATACTCGTTCCTGGTTCTCATCCTGTGTGTGTGTGTACTCACCTAGTTGTACTCACCTAGTTGTGCTTGCGGGGGTTGAGCTCTGGCTCTTTGGTCCCGCCTCTCAACTGTCAATCAACAGGTGTACAGGTTCCTGAGCCTATTGGGCTCTATCATATCTACACTTGAAACTGTGTATGGAGTCAGCCTCCACCACATCACTTCCTAATGCATTCCATTTGTCAACCACTCTGACACTAAAAAAGTTCTTTCTAATATCTCTATGGCTCATTTGGGCACTCAGTTTCCACCTGTGTCCCCTAGTGCGTGTGCCCCTTGTGTTAAACAGCCTGTCTTTATCAACCCTGGCAATTCCCTTGAGGATCTTGAATGTGGTGATCATGTCCCCCCTAACTCTTCTGTCTTCCAACGAAGTGAGGTTCAATTCCCGTAGTCTCTCCTCGTAGCTCATACCTCTCAGCTCCGGTACTAGTCTGGTGGCAAACCTTTGAACCTTTTCCATTTTAGTCTTATGCTTGACTAGATATGGACTCCATGCTGGTGCCGCATACTCCAGGATTGGTCTGACAAATGTTGTATATTATGTTCTGAAAGATTCCTTACACAAGTTTCTAAAGGCCGTTCTTATGTTAGCCAACCTGGCATATGCTGCTGCTGTTATCCTCTTGATGTGAGCATCAGGGGACAGGTCTGGCGTGATATCAACCCCCAGGTCTTTCTCTCTCTCTGACTCTTGAAGTATTTCATCTCCCAAGTGATACCTTGTATCTGGTCTCCTGCTTCCTACCCCTATCTTCATTACATTACATTTGCTTGGATTAAACTCTAACAGCCATTTGTTCGACCATTCCTGCAGCTTGTCCAGGTCTTCTTGAAGCCTCAAGCTGTCCTCCTGTGTGTGTGTGTGTGTGTGTGTGTGTGTGTGTGTGTCCTGTTGCAAGAATCGGAGGTGTCTTCCCTTCTTGATAGCTTCGACAGGTCTGTGAAAGTGTAGTGAGTGGTGTTCAGTTTTGTATTTGGAATATTGTTCATTCCAGTTTTTTATTTACTTCATTTATCTAACCGTGTTCAGTACATTGTTACATTTATGTGTGGAATGTTGTATGTTGCTGTAGGTTTTCCCTTATAATGTATTATTATGTTTATTGTGTTTGTGTTTTTTACATTTTGGTAGATGGTAACGGCTTTCGTTTGTGGAGGTCCCTTGTGTGTGTGTGTATATTTTCTTTATATTTGTCTGTTGTGTGGTGTTGGCGTTCTGTGGTTAAATAAATACGCTGTGTTCCACTTGTGTGGGTTTAGGGTAACATTTGGGCACGTCTGTGCATATGATACGAGTGTTCCCTGGATACGAGTGTTTGTGTACCTTAATTTAGTTATGTAATACTTTGCTTTGTGCTCTGTTTCATGTGTTGTTTCATGTGGTGTTTGTGTACTTGTGACAGTATCAACACCACTTGTGGAGTGAGGTATGGTGATTGTAACGCCATCTCAGGACATGTATTCCAATCCCGATTAGATGGGACGAGGACAATGTCATCTGTTGGCGAAGGTGTGGCAAGGTTAGCGCCATCTGTGGAAGGGTCCTGATTATAATTCCTTTTGGTGGTGTCGATGACAATGCCCTTTGGTGAGGGAGATGACGATATCATTACCATCTATTGCATGTACCCGATCATATTTTCTGTTCCCGGTGAAATGCATCCTATGGTAGCCAGGTGTTCTTACTGTCTTGCTAATGACTTTCATGTCCTCAGAAGTGATGAGGAGAGTGTCTTGTGCTCTAGATCTAGACCGAGGGCAGTCCAGAACCCCTGACTAGATCTATCGAGGACAAGTGGTCGTCGTTGGTAGAGACATTGATTTATCTGTGAAGTTTTATTGGTGTGTCTATGGGTCCTTCTTAACCTCTCCTCGCTCCTCTTCTATCTTGGAGACCTCTTGTTTCAAGGATAGATCAGGGATGGTAGGCTTAGGTGCCTTACCTCCTTGTGGTTTTAGGTTAGGTAAGGGATCCTGGGTTGGAGTAGCATTAAGTCTCCTTCAGGGCTACACTGACAAGGTGGTCTTTTAAGGATTTGCCCGGCCTCCATGCTATCATCACGGGGTTCTCCGAGAACCTGCCCCAAGATGGGCATTTCCCCGTAGGTGTTCTTTAGCCATGTACAGGTTTCTATCAGTTCATTACCCAGCAGAGCTGCCAGCCCTGGGAAGAAAAGCGCCGGTAGGAGACGAATCTGCTAGGCTAACCACTCTGCGAGGCTAGCATAAGTATCTGCTACCGAGTTGCAGGATACTTCTGCCCGGGTGTTGGTAGAGACTCCTGTACGTGATATTTGTGGCCCTCGTCAGCGTGTTGCTGAAATACTCTGCCAGTGTGTTACTGGAGAGACGAAGTAGGGAGTTCTGGACACCGTGACGTTATGGTGTAGGACTGGCCCATGTTGTGTCGAGTAGGGTGAACTCGCCGGCATGAGGACCACTGCACGTGGATGACGTATAATAGAAGATACAGTGGACTCACCGGAACGGAAGAAGACTGCAGAATTTATCGTATTCGTGTCCTGTGCGCAAGTGACCCTCGCAGTGTGCATATGTGTACATATGTAATATAGTGATTATATAGAACATATTATATTGGTGAAGGTGCTGATTAGTATTGTTTACCCCCTGTCCAACTACTTGGAATGGACGGTAGAGCGACGGTCTCGCTTCATGCAGATCGGTGTTAAATCCCCGACCTTCCAAGTGGTTGGGCACCATTACTTCCTTCCGTCCCATCCCAAATCCTTATCCTGCCCCCTTCCCAGTGCTATATAGTCTTAATGGCTTGGCATTTTCCCCTGAAAAATTCCCATTCCTACCCCATTTTTGTTATTTTCACGATTACTTGCTACTGCCAATTCTTGATATCTTGCTATTGACTTGGGGTGTGATCAAGGTAGAAGAGGCACTAAGCCCATAAGCAGTGATTGAGATAAAGAACCCGGATACTGGCTCAGTGAGGTGCAACAGTAATGGTGTGGTACTCCGGTACCTTTTCTTTCATTTATAGTTATAAGCTGTTTTATATAATAAAGAAAAACAAACTTATATTGCAAGTAATGATAAATCGAATCTTACATTTCATGACATTAACAACATTGCAATTATTCTACATTGAAACTGTTTTTTTTAACAATACTTTATTTTGACACCCAATTGTTGTCAGTACCTTGGTGGAATTGTAATACTTTTTAATAAAACTAGTAATATGTTGAAAGTTGGAATCCAATAAGTACCTAATTAGTTGCTTAGCACTTTACACCCCTTTGGAGGTAGGTGGGATAAGGGCCTGCTTCATAAATAAGCCGGCCTCTGACTAAGCAAGGAACGGCACATAGTAAACTAAGTGCCCCACTTAGTATGCAAGAGGAGCACCTAGTAAGCAGGTATTTACCAGGTGGTGCATGTTGAAATTGAGCTTCAGCTGTTTGATAAACCACATCTATCAAATTTCAACCAACCGGCGAATTGCAATTCCTGAGGATTTTAGATGTGATGAGCATGTTTACCCGATTTCATCTCCCTTCTAATAATGTGAGATTAGACTAATTTAGAATTTCCTAAACGCTCATACCTCTAAGCTCTGGTACAAGTGCGCGAGTGTACCTCTGAACATAACGCAAGTTTGGACTTCACATTTAACTGAGGTATGTGTTATACGAAGCCCTGGACGACCCCTTTTTTAGTTGAGGTAGGTTCCCATGTCGGCTTATGTTGCGTATGCAGCTGAGGACATGTGGTTGACGTTGGCGTCTGGTGACTAGGTCTATATGATAGTAACCATGAGGTCACTTGTCACTGGCCAGAGCTTTCTCCCATTTGGTTCCATGTTTCTAATTCACTTGTTTTCCCTCTCAGGCTCGTTACTTTGCATTTGCTGGATTTAAACTCTTAGTAGCTATTTAATAAATCATATTTTCATCCTATCCTGGCTTGCCTTGTTCCCGTTTCCTGGTGGGTTGGGTGGGTCTCCCAGTAGCGCATGGCCAGGATGAAGTGAAACACAGATTTTCATATAACAGTCAATATATGATATGCAGGATTGTTCATAAACTTTTACGTGATCAGTGCATAACGTTTTACCATTTGGCAGCGCAAAACAAAAATACACACGTATACGATAGGAAAC